AAAAAGTTCACAAACCTCTGGGATCAAATACCAAAAGAATGCTGATGTTGTCCAAAGATTTGCCAAGACTTCACCATACCACCAGTACAGATTCATGATTTTGCATATTTTTGTCCGTTGCTTCAGGGCTTGTTAAGTGAAATTTCTTGACATTCGGTTAGTATTGGATGCTACTTAAACTTACATGTTAGTTCATATTTTTGAAATTATAGGTGCATATTTTACATATTTCGTTAAAATAGAGGCTTATCTCTAAAATGTTTCATCTTCTTATAGAATCTACTATTTATTTGTGAGCATTCATTGATTAGAATGAGTTTGCTACAGTTTTTTTTTCCTTCTTTTCTTTAGATGATAAAATACTTGTTCAAATATAGGTTATTTCTTGATAACATATTTTTTTAAAACAAGCACAAGAAATGCAACAAGGCACAATGTATTTCAATAAGGTGAATATTTACTTCAATTATTTCTCCTGTGAAGTAAGGTGGATTGAATTATGTTTGCATAAAATAAATATATTTTCATTCCAAGCATGCTTCTCCTGAATTATATCAAGAAAGTTTTATATAAGAAATGAAAAATTGTTAATTTTTATTGCATATTAAAGTGCATAATTCAGAATTTTTAGGTCATAAATGCAAATTTTTAATAGTATATTTCAAGAAGTTTTAGGGAATAAAAATCCTCTCCCTAGTGATTGCAATGAATGTGTGTGCTGGTTTACAGCTCAGTTTACTTTTTAATAATGTGAATTGAAACTATGTTCACAAACATTTATTTTTCAGTTAAAAGCTGCACAGTAATGAAAAGGATAATGGATCCCTAGTTTTCAACCTACTTAATCCCTTAATATCATCGCCAGTACAACATGTTTTTGCATCAGTCATATTGGGATCAAAAGTGTGAATTTACAGGCACTAAAAGGATTAAAATGAGTCAAGAACTTAAAACTGGCTAAATCAAAATTTTTAAAAAGTGAACTCTCATTAGAGTTTAAATATTAATTTTCAAATACTTTTCTGAATAGAGCTTATGAATGTGAAATTTTATGTTGTAACTGTGATCAAACATACATTGAAGATATCAATCTATCACATTGATAGAAATTTACGTCTTACCATCTTCGTAGTATTTGACATTTGGATCAAATGTCAGAGTATGGGGGTGAAGAAAGCATGTTTTGTTCAAAGTGACAACTTTTATGACAGGAGCTTGTAAATATCTGGAGATTGAACATCATGGAATTTCAAAATGGTAGCAAAGGGGGGAGCAGACGAGAGAGATTAACACATTAAAACGTCTAATATTAATACCTATGAGTTCCAACACACCAAGTAATTTGGTTGTTTGTAAGTAGTAGTTTGGTTGTAATTTGGGTACCAATTGTAATAATAATATTGGTGGGACCAATCCCAATAGCAAGAATTACGAAGTATTAAGTACTATTAAATGTACTTTTGAAGGATTTAATAGAATATTTCTGTTCATGTTTAACATCTGAATTTGTTGTAGAGAACAGTGGCATAATAGTAGAATGAGATAATTAGAGAATATTACTTTACTATTGGCCCCAGAGAGCTATTATGTTCCAAGAAGAAATTCTCGCAAAGGTTTATATTACACCACAATTTCAATTAATAAAAAAGAGAGAAAAACTGTGGCAATTTACCAGAAATATAATTTTTTATCAAACATAATTTTATTATGTCGTATTAGTACAAAACTGATAGCGCATCTTTTATTACCCCATGTGAGGGAATGAAAAAATTGAAAATACATATTTTTGTAGCAAAATATGTATGCTATGACAGACATGAATCTGTACTGACAATTGAAGGGTATATGATGTAGTATCATTTAAAACTAAAATTAAAAAGTTATGAAATTTTTACAGGGATTAATAATACTTCTCATTTCTCTTTCTCACACACTACTATAACTCCACATACAAGTGTCAGATCACATGTATTTCATCTATTTTAACCACCCATTCAATTTTCTTGCAAGCTGTAGTATAACTACATCCATAGAAATACGTTTAGTAATAAATGATAAAATTGAGGTTTGTTAATGATAGTTAAGCTAGCACAATTATGAATGTCTTTAAGAATTAACTTTAAAAAGATGTAAGTAATGGTGAAGTATATGGGTTTGAAAATTTGACAAGAAGATAAATTACTAATTAACAAGAAGTAAGTCACATGTGGTCGTAACTCAAAAAGTATGTACAATTTTCATATGAACTGATTTTTTTTTTTCCTATACCTTTTCAACTTCAAAATGAGACCAATCACTCTCAAATTGGGAACAAATTAGTTCACATTGAGATAAATCACTCTCAAATTGAGACGTATCATTTTCATATTAAGATCAAACAAGTATGTGTGTGTGTGTGTGTGTGTATGTATGTATGTATGTATATTATATATATATTATATATATTATATATATATATATTATATATATATATTATATATAAAATATATTATATATAATATAAAAAATAAAATAAAAAAAAGGAGGGTAGAAAGCATCAAACAGCAAATAGGTGATTTACTTAACAATAATGAATATTGGAGAGGTCTGGCGAATACAATTATTATTATTATTGTTAAAAAATCTTCTGCTTACAGGTGAGTGAAGAACCAAAATGAAAGCAAACCATAGGGTGGAAGGAGAAAGGAATATCCATGTTAATTTCAAGAAAATCATGAAATTATCCTGTCCACAGAATGTTTATGGAAACATTTAGAAGAATTTTTTTATTTACACTTAAGGATAATCAAAGAGAGCCCAAGAAAACTATGAAATAAAAACAAAACGTCACAAACATGTTCTGCAGCTATCAAGCAAACAATGTTCTTTTGTAATGTATGGATGAAACTAACTTGATTTATTACATGAAAGCAAGGATGTTCTAAGAAAGGAACTTGATGCAGTTACATAGCAGTAGCCAAATATATTAACTGGTGAAGAAAAAGCAAATGTATCTCAAATAGAATTTGGGCTGCACGAGTTAGAAAAAATATAAATAAAAATATCAATACAATAAATGTCGATAACTGAGAAAAATTCATTTGCTTATATTCAAAGATCCATACCAGATGCTTTAAATTTAATTCATATAATTGTGTAATCAATTTTATCTATGTTTTGATATTTCTGTTTTGTGCGGTTTATTAAAATGCATTTCTACTTCGCATTCCTTTCTTGTTTTTTTTAATTTTAATTTTCTTTTTAATGCTGTGAATCAGGAAATGAAACAGTTAAATGTTTTTCACAATTTGAAGGTGATTCGTCTTGATTAGAACGAGCTTGTCCCCAATTCGAAAGTGCTTGTTTTCAGCTTGAAAGAGTTTGGTCTCATTTTGAAGTTGAAAAGATGTAGAGACAAAGGTGTTTCTCAATTTATTTGCCCCATAGACTTAAACTTTTTTTTATTATAGCAAGCTACCAATTAGGAAATATCCCTTTAAAAAAAGTTGGGTATAGCTCGTGTGCACCAACATAGAGTGACTGCCTTCACTTCACTTGATCTGTAATGAATTTTAGTAGATTTCTCAAGGATTGAAAAAATGAGTCATTGGGTAACAAATCATGTTTGTAGGATGATCCTACACATTCTAGTTAAATAATTCAAGGTTCTTATTGATATGGATGGACTGAATCTGCAATTGTGATATGGAGAAAGACATTTTATTGGCATTCGTGGCCATATGACTTATCGCCCTTGTATATTTCTGAAATTTTATGGACAAGTGCAACCTATTTTTTGATTTGCCTTTGTAACTAATGCTTCTCATGCGAGAAACTCTTGAACATTTTATTACTTGTATTTAAATATTGAAACAACAGTAAAATTAAACCAACTAAATTTAATTTAGAATTTCTGTTCAATATTACAACAAAATGCCATTTGAAGTCCTTTCTATTGTGTTACTACTCAGGCCATTTCTGACAAAACTGCAATTCACACAAATAGAAAAATTATTTTTTCATTCATTCATGAATCTCCAAATAGTTATGACATATTTTACATTATTCATTATCAGTTGCAAAGTCATTGGCAACAAAATATTACTTATACTCATTTTAAAATACGAACAGCTATGAAGAAAGCATACAGAGGATATCATACCACAAACATACGTAACTATGGCCTCATCATCACTCTTGTAACAGAGCAAAGTGGCTCAGTGTGTAGCGCGGTGACTTCACAATAAAGGTAAATGCTGGGATGGTTCATAAGGCGAATGCTGGGATGGTTCAAAAAGTCCACAATCACCTTTCACCAATATCCAATCACCTCCTAATCCATTATTAATTATTATTATTATTATTATTATTATTATTATTATTATTATTATTATTATTATTATTAATTATTATCATTATTATTATCATTATCATCATCATCATTATTATTATTATTAATAATAATAATAATAATTTCACAGTGGGAACAGAGTTGCTTGAGTTCATGGTCTACCACACGTGTCCCCTGGTTAACGCTAAATGAGCAACAGTGATTCGCCACCTACGCACTTGGCCATTGTGGGCGTGTGGATCCCTACAAGTTGAGGGGAAAGTCTGCACATCACCAAATGGCTAACATGCCAATGGTACTGAATATCGGAACAGCTTGACTACAGAGTTGGCTTTATAAAAAGTTACGTAAGTGCTATTATTATTATTATACATTTCACCACCTTGTCAAGTTGGAAGTTTAACAATTAGCAAATACATTTCCTGTTTCACAACTGCCAACTACAGTTGCAACCCCATGTATTGTATATCCTTCAGGGGCCATCTCCTTAAGGCTGTTCAAAGAGTTGACTGTCTCGGCTGCTCAAGTGGTTAGAGCAGTTGGGTACATGCCGGGAGATCCCGGTTCGATTCCCGGCTGGCGCAGCCAACTCTTCGAACAGTCAACACATAATTTATAACAATTATTGTTTCAAAATACTTTAAAACATTACTTAATAATAATAATTATTATTAATAATATTATTTTCACAATGTGATACATAAGTAATTTGAATAAGTAAATCAGAAACAAATAAATCTCCAAAGAAGCTAGTGGAGTAAGTTTGACTCCTCGTCTGTAATGGTGATTACGAGTTCAAGTTCTACTTATAATTGTTCTACAAAACTATAAATTGTTCATCCCACTTAATGAAGTTATCTTTTACTAGTATTTGTTAACAATGCCATTGAATTATTTTTGAATTTGGGCTCAGGAGATGAAGTTCAGGACCTTATTTTGCAAGCAATTAATTTTCGGTCTACCTCTATGACTAGATGTGAATGCAACATAATTTCATATTATATATTATTCCGATATTAAATTATTTTTTTATAAATGCAAACAATCTGAAATATGTTCACCAGGAACATAAAAACCTAAAAAAATCCAAATAGTGGACTAGCTATTAACGTAGACAATACCTGTGATGCACACAAGCTACAAACACAGCTTCACAACAATCTTTTGAAGAAAAGGCATTCTGATTTTCTAAAATTGGACGAAACACTTTAAATAAAATGTTTCCTTATATTTTTGCCTCCTCAATTTGCATTCTTTGCCCTCAAAAAGAACATTCTCTATTTATACAGGATGCATCATTTTACCATTTGCGGTAGGTAGCAGCATATGCACCACATGTAGAGGGACCAACATTGATATTATTAGGGTTAACAGCTACAAGCCCTAAACACGACTGACTACAGTGTAAAGAAACTTTAACATCAGGCTGTAACTGGAAAAGGTCAGGGGGCGCGGCATGCCAAGCCCAGGTACTAGAGGTGTCGAAAACTACCTCTTTGATGTGCAGTGATCTGTGTACTTCACACGTCGGTAGAATGATTGTAATGGCCTGCTACCCAGCCACCATGATCACCAGACCACAGGCCTCTAGATTTCTTCTTCAGGGATTTTGTCAAGAATCATGTGTTTGTGACCGCATGGATAACGTCCAGGATGGGTACACGGGGATCTATTCGTCACCGCCAGCAAAATATTGCGGTGTGTGCGTCAGAGTATAGTGGCTATCCACAAAGTAAGTAACAATAAAGGGGGTGGAGGTAGAGGCAACGTTACACTGCGTTATATAGGATTTGGGGGTTAATTTAGTGTAACGTAAAGCTGATATTTTTATTTTTTTATTTTTCATTATTAACAGAAATAATTCACTTTATTCAGTCAAACTATGACACCAAAACATTAAAATATTTAAAAAAATATACATACATAAATTAAAAGTTACGATGCATAAATTGTTATAATAAACAGAAATATTGTTTCATCCATGGTATATGAATTGAATCGGATCTTCATTAAATTATGGAGAAAATATTCAAAACTGAAAGAGTGCAATTAAATGAGTACTAGAAAATCGACAACAGGTCATCCACAATCACGTCTGCTGGGCTTGATTACAGAAATTTATTTGCCTTTCCTCAAGAGTTGTCCCCAGTTTTTATTGTTATAAGGAGCCAGCAATAACATCTAATCAGTCAGTAGTGTATGGTAACGGTTGGACGATGGATGCTTACAAGTCTTATGCACAAATCAATCGATTCTAAGAAAAAATAGCCATTTGCAAAAGTGACCACTTAATTGATGTGACCATTCGAACAGGTTTTACTGTACTCTTATGCGAATTCGCTTGGTGTGTCGCAAGATATACAACTGCTCATTTGATGTTTGAAATCAGTATGTCACCCCCAGTGATGTGGGGTGGCAAAATCAAATTGGTAGACAGCAGCACCGAGACATAAATTTTTCGAAGTTGTAATTAACATACAATTATGTTATCCATAGTAAAGACATTGAAAATCATAGAAATTCATTAGTTTAAAACATACATTATTTCTTCATAAAATTCTTTGGTAAAATACAAATTAATGTACTTTATTAAATTTGGTCTCAAATTAATATAAGAAATAGATGCAGTCCACCATACACAACATTTAAAGCTAGAAAGATAAATGATTGCACATACGATGATTGCACTCTCTGAAACCGAATTTACCAACTTGTGAATCTGCACAAAATCTCAAATTATCTAAATGTATAAACTTTTAACAGCACTAGAACGAAGTCCGGGCTTATAAGATTTATTTACTCTTGATATGTAATTCAAATTATAATATAAAGAGTCTTTTCTATTAAATGAAATTTAATGTAGAGCTACTATAACAACAATCCCTCATCTCATGACAAAAATCTCATTTATGATGATCTATAACAAAATATGAACTGTTTGTAAAATTACAAATACATACAATCCTATAATTCAATTCATTCATTTGATATATAAGAAAATTTAAATAGACTGAGTGTATGGTGTATTTATAAGGTTCTTGCTATCTACACTGTTAATCACAAACAGGGCAACATTGCCTCTTGAAAAAAATTTAATTAACCAAACGAATTGAAAAACTAATGTATAATACAAATATGTTTACAACACCTACGCCCAGTGATGAATCACAATGTTCTAAAACACACTGTTCGAGACAGATATGTCCACACCAGCAGTGATGTGGTTTACAACCCTGCAAGGCGGCCCTCACTTCAGGATTTACCTGCGATGTCTCTGTTTCTGTTTCTCGTGTACTTGTCAACAAGGTGCTGTCTCAGCACAATGTTATATGCTTTCCACTTTGTAAACAGACTAAGACTTGAAGAATATGTTCTGTAGAAAATAATACATACCAGTACTATATTAATTTTTTCGTAGCATTTTAGCTTCAATGGATAGACAGTCTACCTTCCCTCCCTCCACACTAGTCTTCTACTAGCAATATGTAATATTGGTTATGTACTGTCGTCTGTCCAATCATTTCGGTGTACAGGTAAAATGATATACCCTGTATATCATCATTCCAAAACCTTAGAACCAATTTCTTAATTAGCACATTTCTTGTAATTTCATGTGCAAGTATTTACAAATAAAAATTTCAAAATGTTTACATATAGGTAAAAGTTACATACTTAATCACAGGTGTTCCATGGAATGCAATTTTGCCAAAGTCTAGGGGTGCAAGTCCTCTATAATTTTGCTCAAATTGCTTAATAACATGTTACAAGGTGAATGGAATTTCCAAGAGTTTCCATGAACACCCGTGATTCATACTTTACAGTTACGATGATACCACTGTTTCTGTTATTGCATCAGACAGTGGATCATTAGGCACAATAATAATCGAACTAGCACATGGCAACACAGATTCTGAATCATTTTCGGTATTGCAGATAAAAACCTGATGAAAACCATCACTGCTCAGTCCACTTTCTCCAGCTGCTGCCAGTAAAACTTCTATATTCTGTTGTGAAAATGCAGATGCCTGTAATGAAAAAGATAGGAATTAATTAGGAAAATGACAATATATACATAAAGGATGTTTATGGAGAAAATGTCGAAACTTCGAAAATAAGCTCTTGAGTCAATTTTAAGCATATTTTGTCTAATAAACTCCTTTGATATCCTGAATGGCTTAGCCACAATAGGCACTCAAAAGACGGTGTGAAAATATACTTTTTATACAAAAATTTGCATTTCAGGAGCATATAAACACTTCAGAATCATGTAAATTGTTTATTATTTATAAAAGAAATAGATTTGTTCACAATGAAAAGTTAACCCAGAAATAAAAAAGCAGTCAAATTGTGTAAATTTTTCACGAATAAAGCTGAAAAAAATGTTTTTTTAAAATAAAAAGATCTGACTTTTTATTTCAATAGGATTTTTGAAAATTGTAATAGATGTCTTTATTTTAAACCAAAATTGTTACGTAATTTATTTATCCTTAATTACTTTAAAAGGAGAAAAAGTTTATTAAACATCAATTTTTAAATTTATTATTAAATTATTGTAATTTTATTTAAAAATATTGTAATGGGACGGTCGCACAAGTCGGATGGCGACGCGGACAAAATATTTTATTTAATTACGAATCGCGCCTGGATAAAGGACGGCAGGAAATGTGCCGTTTGCGATACCTGGTAAGGCCGCTTAGCGAACCGAGGGAACGGAGGAATGTACCTCCTTCGTTCGGCACAACCCACGCCTGCCGCACCCTCGTGACGCATGGGGAAACACGCTCCCGCACCCCCAAACCGAGCAACGGAATTGCCCGCGCCCAGTTCTTGGAATTTACGTGACGGAGGTTACTTCGGAGAAAGTTGCCTGTGCGCAGCTCTGCCGCTGATGCCGTGATAGGACAGAGAAACCACGGGGGAGGAATCATGTGACACGCGAGCTTCCCCGAGGGACCGCCGAAGGACGCTCGATCTCTTGTTTTGGAGGCAGCGGGGAGAGCACTGGTTGTGGAAGCGGCGGAGCGAGCTGATTTGTGTTTGAAGCGGCGGAGTGAGCTAACTGACTTTGGAATCAGCGGGGAGAGCGCTCACTTTTCGGATGGACGGATAGAGCTGTTACTTTGGTTCGGAGCCGGGGCTTTCCGGGCCTGGTCGCCCCGAATGCCGCGCCGCCTTCGCTACCATCGCAGCCCGACTCGCGTGACGGAAGCCGAACTATGGGACGGGACACCACATGTGAGTGCCTGACCGCAAGAGCAAAGTGAGTACGAGCCGGGGCGTGAAAGACACGACCACGAAGCGACCCGCCATCGCCCGGGCGCGGTCCTGCCGCCTGACCGCGCTGAGCGACGCCGAGGCGCCGTCCGGTCGACGAACGCCGCTGGCCTAATCCGGTGAATGTGGGCCGCCACCGCGGCCGCCGAGTGGTCGCCACAAAGGAACCAGGGGGCAAGCACCGACCGTGGCTGCCCGAACGCCGCGCCTGGAAGCTGGGTCACGACCGCCCGGGAGGGCGAAAACCAAGGAGCTGATATGAAATCTGGCCATGCCGGCCTTTTTCTAAGTTAAGATTAGTTTGTTTTGTTTCTGCCATTGGGTTTCAGCCGCATTGAATCAAATATTGATTAAAGTAATATTTAAGAAAATGCCTCAGCCTTTCTATCCAGTAGTTAGGCAATCACGCATGCCTCCCTCTGGGGAGTCTGCCGACGAAGCAGCCGGGCGAAGCTGAATCGACGAAGGAAAGCAGGTAATTGGGTGAGTCGGTGGTTACAATATAAAGATATTATACATTTGAGGGGTGCGGTGCAGCACCGCACGAACCAACAAAATCTTTAAATTTGATGTACTTATAGTTTCGTGCCTTTGAAACACTAAAACATCCTCTAACGCATGGTGAACCCAGAATCCCTGTTTTGTGGGTACTTGATACCAAAAACTTGATTGACCGCAAAACATCCGTCCGCCTGTCTGTCCAGTGTATGTGAGCAACACTAGCACCTAAACTAGGCTTAAGATTTTTTCCAAACTGAATAAACCCTAGTCGATCTGGCCTGAGTCAGAGCTCTGAGATTTTGAAAAATATTCATTAATTTTTGGGGAACTTTAAATGAATCCCCATACACATTTTCGAAATTTTCTCAAAAATGGCTCCAAATTTTTTCTTTTAATTTCTTGTAAGAATAGAGTAAAATACACTTATAAAGATGGCATAGGTCCGATTTTCACTGTTCACTCACAACTCTGAATTTTTGATAATTGCAAAAGTTTGGCTTTTTTTGGCGTCTTCCTACAACTATCAAATTAAAGATAGAGATTTTTCCTTCAAATGAAATTTGTTCTCTATAATTAGTCATGTACATTTTTTTGGACATTTAGTTTTCATGCTATATTGCATGTAATATGTGCAATTTTAAAAAAATAACAAAAACAAGATTTTCTTAAAAATAGCTCCAAACTTTTTCTTTGAACTTTTGGTATGGACAGTGCTAAATGCAGTCTATGAGATGACATAAACGTCATTTAGCTCCATTCTTTTGTTGTTTCGAAAATTACAAATATGTAATTTTGATTGATAAGCCTTCTATGTCCTTAATATGTACATTAGGTGTGATTTCATCACAATACTGCATTTATAAGTGTATGTGCATCTAATGATTTCCCTAAAGTTTCTCAAAAACTCTGTGAACTTTATGTAAAATTAAGTCTGCCATGGTTAAATAGGTATTCAAGGAACAGAAATTTTATTTTTACATAACAAAAAGTTTCGCATCTAGTTTCTCACTTATTGAAGTTCAAAATGAGTTTATCTGACTTATCCCTACTACAAAGTTTGTGTCCTGACTTTGCTACAAAGTTAGTGTGTCTTGCCTTCTTTGATACATATGAGGCCTGACATAGAAAATAATTTTATGAGAGATGGGGTTAAGATGATCTAAGCATGTTTGATGTCTAATGACAAGCATGAAAAATTGCTTAAAGGATGGGAGTTAAGAAATCTGAAGTTGACAATTTTGCACTGAAGAAACTGATCAAAATATCTCTGCTTTTGACTGAGAGTTAGTTTTCCAGCCTCAGTCAAGTGGCATTCATTGCAGCTCATGAGGAAGGCGTCTGTACTGATGGATGGTATTCAACTTCTGGAGCGTCAACAAAGAACAGAATGAATGAGTGTCTTATACAACAGCAAGTCTTATACACATATTTGCAGTCTGGAGTCTATGAGCTACCATAAGAGTGCTAAGAAAATTGAATAGTGACATGCATTGGCTTTTTATTTAATTACTTTTGCTTTTGTTGAACATGAGGTTAATCGCAAAAACAAAGTTGCTGATCCTCAAGAAAAAGATCTAGGCTTTTATGGAGGTGATGAATCAGAAAAGCATGCAGATGGACTTTGAGGCAGAGATATTGGAAACCCGTTTTTTTTGCTCCATTTTTGCAATCTGTTAACGATGAGTTACAACTTTCATTGAATAACATTTATGTTCTTGGAAGAGCAAAAAAATGTGTGAACATCATCTAGCTAATTTGGTAATTAGCCAGATTTACACTTTATACATAAAGTACATAAATGTCACACAGAAGAGGATAAGAAATTTATTGTGCCCTAAATCACAGAAAGGAATGGGAAAATATTAAAACATTTATTATATTAATAAAAATAAGAATTCTTTTGTGTACAGAAACATTTGGCATACTTACCTGGTCAGTGTCTTGACTATTGTGAATGACAATTATTGAGCTGTCATTAGTTGTTTCATTTCCAAACACACCTACAACTGAAAACGATATAAATTAGTAAAATAGGACATTATGAACATATTTATTTATAATGCACAGAAACAATTTATGTATATCATTTAAGTATGTATGTTTATTAAGGTTGTAAATAGATAACAAATATACAGATATGTATAAGGTGTACAGTAAATATAACTTTGTACCTTGCTATTAGTTGTCAGAATAATTTTTGCAATGCTATTATTAAACATTGGATATTAAAGTACCAAACATGTACATTTTAGGTGCCTAAAAGGCATTACAAAAATTAAAAATAGGCAAGGGAAGAAGGCATGAAAGGTCAAAATTGGTGGGAAAAAGGCATTTATGTTTTCACTACTATATTTCATAAATTTTATAAAAAAATACAGAACATTTAGATGATAACTATACCATGAAGGAAAATAAATGAATTTGTAACTTCAAATGTTTCTCTCTAAGGTGCTAAATGCACGGTACAATTTTTATGAAATATTACCTACCCAGCAGCTGAGTTCACGTTTAAGCTGTGTTAAGTTTCCTTAATTTCTACCACAGTGAATTCCCTATCTTTCAAGTTTTCCAGAATTTAATGATTACGTTGAGGTTTGGCCATCTCCATATCAGTACTACTGCATTCACCAGATGGAATTTTATAACTTAAGTTTCTCAATTTCTCATAAGTCAGTCTCCCAATTCACTTTCAAGGGTGATTTTTAAGGCAGATTTATGAAGAGGCACATCTCGTTTACAGACTAGGGATGTGGCCACGCCACATAAGGTTTTATCAAAAGTTAGCCTGAGGAACCTGGCATATTCAGCTACTTCAATGGAAATTGCCATTTATGTTGAGATTTACACTTATTTAATATTCTTAAAGTAATATTTAGGTTCTACTATTAGGAAACCAAAAAATTGAGAAAATGTCAAAAAAATTCATTCTGGACGGTGATAGAGCTGGCAAGAGGATGGAATACATATATATATGGAGGATGGAATATATATGGGTTTTCTTATTCCGTGTGTTGACTAGAAGTGAATTCGACCCTATGTATGTATTCCAAAAAATTTAGGAAACAGTAGAATTAATATATTTTGAAGTGCAAGGCCTAAGAAACACTATGAGTTTTTATTAAATGCTAATATTATTATGTAATAATATTGAGAATAAATGTTCTGTATTTTATTATAAAAGCAGAAGTAATTTCCCACCATTTACAACACTTTTTCACAGACACTTGAAAAGTGTAGAAGGATTTTACTGTACATGTGTACATTCATACATACATTTAATGAAATTCGGTTTATCAATTGAAGTACTTATATTCTTCAAACAGGACTCACCTTTACTAGGATCATTTTGCAGAAATGAATCGTTTTCATTAGATTCAATTAAAACTTGCAATGTTTCAGGCGTAGGATCCTTAAAAGCATCTAAAATGGAAATTAAATGTTTTCAATCAAAATTCCATACCGATATTTGGAGATTACAAAAGGTTTATTAAAAGAAAAAGTATACAGCAACATTCACTACATTTTAATCCCTGTATTTAAAGTAAACTTGCAGCAAAAAATTTGCCATCTACCAGAAAACAAAATTAATGTTTATTATTATTATTATTATTATTATTATTATTGCTAGTCATCATGACTGAATTTTTCAATTGTTAAATTCAGAAGCATCTGCAGGATTGCAGTCCTTTGGCATGCACAAAGGGGGCGGCAGTGTCTTGGAGGCTGTGTTAATAAGCTGACCATTTGATACTTGACATTTGGGGAAGAGGTTTCCCAAATTATCTGGTCAGGGACCTACCTATATACATTTTTCCTTTGACAGTGACGAAAATGAAATTGAAAGAGAATATTACATAGAGGGCAAGCTCTCAGAAATGCAGCTGTGCAGACTTAGAAGTGAAAAAAAAAAAAACATTAGGGCCTCTGATACGCATACGCATCCTAGGGTTAAGGAATAGATTGTCTTGACCAGGAATTGAATTTGGGGTTTCTAGTATGCCCTCAGTTGCTACACCACTTATCACACTATCGAGACTGTCAATTCACCAAACAGGTTCTTAGGTATTTACACCCTTATACTCCTAAAGTACCTAACAAGGTGTTCTAGGAATTGACTCTCTCAGTAGTTTACATGGTATGGTGCATATGAGCAGAATCTGATGTGATTCCGAGTTGGAGCAGTAAATTCTTCAAACAGTTAAAGATACTACAACAATAATAATAATCTACCTGATCCATCTAAGTAGACTGTTTGTATATGTGTTTGACCATTTGCTACAAGAGTCTCCAAGGTTTGTTTCATTTGTTCTTGAAACATTCTACGTTGATATTCTTCTGCTTCTGGATACCTTCGGCGACGAGTAATTCGTTTAATTTTTGTAGGATCCACTAAAAAACGAAGTTAATATATCTCAAAGATATAGATTTCAACAATTCAAAATTGATTTCAGTTGCATTTGTTAATTTTACAAATTTTCATAATTCAACAAGATATAGAATTACATACCTTCTGGTTTGTAGCCAACTGGTAGTAGCTCCATATCACTAAAGGTCTCTTCTGATGGTAATAATTTTGTTCGCAAATGTCGTGTGAATAATCTCATCAACTTTTCAGACATAAATTTGTGACCTGAGAATATAAAATAAAACCCTTTTCTTAACCGTCTCTATTCTCATTAAATATTCAGCAGCATATAAATAAAAATATCAAGTTATGAACAAGCCCTCAAAATTTTTCATTTACCATCCAAATATAAGTTAAGGTACACGTATGAATGTACCTACTAAAGTAAATTAAATTAAATCAAACATGATGACACCCCTTGAAAATTACTGAAATATAAATAGCTCAAGTGAAAAGGTAGAGTTCACAAGATCAAATATCCAATGGGCATTATTTCCAAAGGTTATTGGAAATAATGCCCAAACCAAAAAGGCCCTTTCTATGTTAAAAGTCAGACCTTCCCAAAATGTCAATAACTTGTTAATCTGTTTATGAGGAATATCTTGTTTCATGGTTGTTTCATATTGATGTGTCCTGCCAGCACTTGTGTAACAAAAGTTTTGTTTCATTTCGTGACTGTTCTTTACATGTTGGAGGGATAGCGGATTTCATTCTTCGTAAGTCAGTACAGGTTAGCCACCAACACAAATGTACATATTCACAGTTCATTCTGCCAACCTTCTGTATGTAGGTATTAGTAGTATTCATTGTTGTTTGTTGTTTCAACAGGAATTGGATGACTTTGTCTATTATTGTGGGAAATGAGGCAAGAGGCAGTTAGAATACAGTGGTGTCATGAACATAGATTTGTTCACACTCACATGCAATGTGTGGATTGTGGAGCATTATTAATTGCTACTGAGAACAGAGAAAAGGGATTTGCAGACAGGGAACAGAGGAGAGACAATCGAAAGCCAATGGAGCCCCTCATGTCATTGTCTCTCAGGCGGTAGTTTATGCCAAAACAATTTGGAGAGCTACCTCATGGAATATTTGTGGAGAAATGGTTGCAAAAGGATGGGTAGAGATCCATTCCTGGCTCTGGTTGATCATTGTAGTATTGCATTTTGAAGCTTGTTAATTTTCTAAATAATGTATTCTTATGATTTTTAACGGTTTTAAACACACCCTGTAATATTTTCCTTCGTTGCTTTAGGTTAGATAAAATTACATTATATTACAAGGTCATATTCATACATGTTTAGGTCCGTTTCACGTGAATACAAATATACGCACGTAGCAAGTTGCTTGTTGCATGGTGCAGAATAGCATGACTTGTTCATTGGTTGGTATCAAGTCAAAAGATGGATGCAATGAGCTGCACCCCCAACATTTAAAGAATATTGCAATTTGTTATTTTACATTTATAGTGATTGGATCTTGCAGGTAGCACTGCAGTTATAACGCAAAACATTTTTGCAGAATGGGCTGTATAAAACACTGGAGATTTAATTATAGGGCAATTTGAGGTAGGATGTTTGTTAAGATAGGACATTTTCCTATGAACCTCTTTGAAAGGACAATGTATGTTTCAATGTTTTTAAAGGGACATTTCCATACATGGATATTTTCTATTGGACCTAATATATGAAAAATGGCCAAATATTTGTTTCCGTGAAGTTTGTGGATAACTACATAAATTTGGATTCCTTTTATGTATTACAATTCCATTCTTCACACAAGAAATATATGAAGTTAATTTAATATGGTCACCTTACTAAACAGAGAGAATATTCAAACTAAAAGGTGTTGAAAGATGACAAGAAAAATGCACTGGTACACATCACTGTAAAATTAACAGGACATATTGGTTACAATTCAAATAACCACAAGGGTAACTCATATATTTTCATGTTAGTTCTGAGTAGTTTTTGTGTTAATATACTCTGCATGTTGTGATAATTTCAGACATACACACTCATCAATGATTTTTATTTTCATCATGTAACATGTTCACAAAATGTGTGTTTTTATTATTTACAAGGTCTATCACACAGTTTTTACCCACTTGTTACATTCCATCATGATTCAGGCTGTTTCAATTGTCTTGAAACTGAAGCTTTTGTTTGTGTATTTATTCATTCATTCCTTTGCATATTATTACACTGATTAATTTCATCATTTATTTTTTAAATAAAAATTATGTAATGCTATTAAGTCACGTAAGTAATTTTAATACTAATTTTTATTTCTCTTCATTTCTCGAACAGCTTATAAATAAATGTTTTAAAAATAAGTAAATAAAGAAGTGGAAAATACGAATCTCTGTATCCCAAGTTTAGAGTTTTGATAGAGAGACAAAGAAAAACAGTATCTCTTGAACTGAAATTAGATATAATGGAGCATCTTGAAAAAGATAAAATGATCACAGATAAAAGCTTTGAACTTGGGTTAGCTGAAAGTACAATTATTTATTAACAAACACTTTAAATATGTGTAAAAAAAATTGAGAGTAACCTATACAGCCACCTATTAAAATTAATATGATAAGAAGAAAAATTTAAAGAGATTTAAACTAATGGTAATGTATGGTTTCACTAGGAGTAACATCACAAATGATCTTTTACCTGGAGATGCAAACAGTTTCCCAATTCCCTTCCACTGCAAAAGATTCATTAGCCTTTTTGTAGGAGGGGCTACATCTAATTTACCAATGATATCTGATGTGTCATTGAGCTGTGATTTGAATTCTGAAACTGGTATGCTGGTTAAGTGATCAGCTATCATTCGACTTCTACCACACCTCATAAATGACCGTATTCCTGAAACAGTCAATAAACTAAGAATAATGTCACACAAATTTATAAAAATATTACTTACTGATCTCACACACATTTATTCTAGACTCAAACATCAGATTTCATATTTTTTTTATCAAAAGTCAAATGTTCTCAAATTGCATTTTATTAATCAATACTTAATGACCCAGTTCAAGAATTACAAAAATACAAATAAAAATATCAATAAGAATATTTTTCCTACTCCACGAATGTGAAGCTTCATTTACACAATCTCACAGGATAAAAACAAGTTTATTTTGAGATTTTTTATGAATGAAAATATTCAAAATTCCTCATGAACACAGAAAGGCACAGTATTTAGACACTGCTGGGAGAAATACAGCCAACTGTAGATATTTTCAGTTTTCCTTACTTCTAAGATATATAATATGTAAATGAAAAAATGATAATTAGGGTTGGAAACAATTGCAATAAGCTAAAATAATTTATTCTACAAATTAACAGTTCAAATAAATTCTGACATTTATTAGGGATTATATTATATATTACTTAAATTATTGCAATTATTATTATTATTATTATTATTATTATTATTATTATTATTATTATTATTATTATTATCATCATCATCATTAACTATAATAAACAAAGAATTACCATAAGACACAACTAATATTAACAAATAATTGACTAATCTATAAAATATATATAAAGATGTGGAGTCACCACAGCACATATTTTTTCACATTCTTTTTAACTTTTGCAATTTTCAAAAATTCGGAAAGTAATACAATGAGACATTTTTTAAACACACTTTGCTCGATTCTTGGAAAAAATGTAAATAAAAATTTTGGAACCATTTTTGAATAATCATTTCATATATTTCATGCAAAATTACTGAAAACTACTCATATTTGTTAATACTTATACATTACCTTATTTAAATATCTTTATTGGAAGAACAGATTTTATTAGGAGAAAAAAATATCTACCTTTACTATTGTAGTTGTAGAAATACACTGGACAAATTTTAAACTTTTGTAATTCTCGAAAATTCAAAGATTTCAACAAAAAGGAGACAATGTTTTAAAAGTCCTTTCCCCTATCAGAGGAAAAGTCTTATAAAGCCGTTCTTTTGAAACTTTTGTTCATGTAAAGTACCTCAAAAAATCGAAACATCAGTTTCAAAATCACAGGGCCTTGACTTGTCAGGATCGATTGGAAAAGATCAATTTTGGAGAAAATCGTGTGAACGGTTTAGGTGCCAACGCTAACAAATGTACACTTTCTGGTGGCGACAGTGTAACGTTTAGCGTATCAGACGGTTATAAGCAAGTTCACGGAATCAAACCCGATCGAAGCCGTGGATTTTTAGAGCAAAAAAATCCTTTGTTCCCTACATTGAAGGGGGAAGTAAAGCTGGCCCTCCCATGTTAGTAGATGTGGCATGTAAGAGATCCTCAAGCCTAAATGAAGCTTCTGGGCTAAATTCAAAATACAGGTATCCTCGCCCAAACAATACCTCCTTTCTCTGCTAGTTAGTGAAAGGAGCCTAGCGAAATTTGAGTGTTCAGGTGGAAGAGCATGCCTCATGGCCTGAGTCTAGCCACATAAAATAAGGTTTCAAATCAATTCAATTCAATTCAATTCAATTATATTCAATTTTGCCATCAATCAGTTTAACTTTCTTGCCCTTACTATTTAATAACAGAAATATTGTAATCGAAAACGCCGAATTTTCAGCAGAAAATTTCTTATTGCCAGGCCCTGCTAATGAAAAAGTGGAAAAATCATTTTCCTATACATGGTGAGTTACTTCCTCTAACACATGGTGAAGTCAGAATCCATATTCTGTGAGTCCTTAAGTGATACCAAGTCGTCCGTCTGACCATCTGTGGTGACACCCTAGCGGCTAAACCGTTCATCTGATATGTTCCAAAATTGATATGCCCAGAACAATTTAAATGAACTATTGGCCCACTGAGATTGAAACGGATAGCATCAACATTTTTAAAATTTTCTCACAAATGGCTCCAAATTCTTTGATGAAACTTTGTCCTTAAGGGACGCTTAAGAGAATGACGTACGTCTCATTTTTATTAAAATCCCTAATTTTCAGAAAATTGCAAAAATTCATATTTTCGTCGTCTTACATCTACAATATTGAAGATACATATATTTTTTGTTAATGAAATCTTAAGCCAATTCTTGACATAAGTTCATGCACAATTGTTTAAAAATATGAGTAGTTTTGGCATAATTTTGTGTATAATATACGCTATTCAGAATTTTTTTAGAACAATTTTATCTCGAATACGTTTTTTAAAATAATTTTTAAAAACACATTATTGTTTTCTTTAATTTTTTCCAAGGATAAAACAAAGGATTCTTAAAAGAATAGCACAGGCCTAATTTTCGTTAAAATCTCTGAATTTTCGAAAATTGTAAATATAGAAATAATGCAAAGAAGTATGTGCTGTTGTATCACCACTGGTTTTGGTATCAAGGATACAATAAATGTAAAATATCACCAAAACATGTTAGAGGAAGTAATTTACTATCTGTAGGAACAAGATTTATATTTCCTCTAATGCAATTTAGTATCCTAGAATAACAATTTCTCCATTATATACGTTATATTTCGTATAAAGTATTTTGAAGCGTCCCCACTCTCTTCCTCACAATGGTCTTATCTGATTGTTCATATTGTACTCTTTGTAATAGCCATTCTGTACATGCTTTCCACGCTCTGCTGTAAATATGTATATGTATATGTATATATATTTATGTTTCACTGATTTTTGTTTGAATTTGTGCGGCTCTACATGTTATGATTATATCAAGTGCTATTTCCATTAGAATAATTGCATTAGATTAATATCATCTGGGTAACTTCTTTTCATGTTCTTTTTGACATATTTAGATTAATTTTCTTCTTTAGTATGTCTAGCCTGAAGATGGGGAAAAAAGAATTCCCTGAAACTTCGCTCTGCAAAACAGTAAACTTGTTGTGATGTGATTGCTCAGAAGAACTTTTTATGATCTAAAAACTGTCTGTGGTTAAAAACTCTGAGGCCAAATTTAATTAACAATATATTTCACAGATTCATTAGTTTACTTATATTGGTTCACACAGATACACAGAAAGACAGCAATTGATTAGTCGCAACATACGATTTAGGAATCGAAAAAGAGTTGAAAAAAATGTTTAAAAGTTGAAAAGAACATACAGATACTTCCGGTTTATTTATCTGTAGTGATTGAATTTATGAGTAGAACTATTTCAAATTATTTTCAATAAAGGTTCTCGGTAGTTTTCTGCGATCACAGATTTATGAGAGATAATTGACAAATAATAAGCCCTGAGCTAGACTTGAACCCGCGACCGTTTGCTCCGAAGCGCTGAGTCCATTCACGCTATCTAACCACCTCGGCCATCCCGGTCAAACAGGCGTTCATGTAAAGTATCCTCAAAAATCAAAATATCTGCTTGAAACTCCCAAAGCCTCGAGTTTATTTAAACTGACTTGGTAATTTCAATTTTTTTTCGTCTTCCCACATTAACATTATCGAAGACAAAAATAATTTTTTTGAATGAAATTTTTTCTCCATAAATATTTCTCACATTAACGTCAAGCACATTTTTTGAAAATTTCAGTAGTTTTCGCAAAACTTTGAGTAAAATTTGGGCAACAAACACTTCAAATCATGTCTTATAAAATTTCTACAAAATTCAAAATTTGGTGTGATAATCAGCTTGCATTTTCAGAAACATTTTAACATCATTTTCCTAAAAAAATTAATACAATTTTTCTATCAATTTTTTGAACAAATAGAGCTAAATGGACTGAACACACAAGATAAATGTCACTTTTCTATGGCATGTACTTTCTCCGCTTAGGAATGGTTATGTATTAATACAATACTGCAATTTCTGTCCATATTAACACATGTCAGTTTGCACTTGTAAATCTCATTACAATTAGTAGAACATTATGCACGAAAACTAATTCTTCTCAATCTAGAATCAACACAAATTCGACAATTAAAACCTTTCCAGGAGCACCCTCTAGGAGGGGATGATCCTTGACACCCCCCCCCCCTTTCAATTTGTAGCCAGCTCAGATATATTTTTCTCAATTTGCATAAAATTAAACTTGGATTTATAAGATATCAATCTGTATTACTTACTACATTTCATTACCTTCCCCAGGTACAAAATCCATTCAAAGAAAAAAAGAAAACCTCTTTATATGTTGCAATTTCTTTATGCTTTTCATGTTTCTGAAATATTTACATGAAATTACATAATTATGAATAGTATACAATATGAAAAAAAATAGGGATGATTTGGGACAATTGAATCCCTAAAACCCACAAAAATTCGAGATTTATACTTGAATATTCACCTTTTCTTTCCTTCTTTCTTTCCCTTTTCTGATAAGAATTTTTGAAATTCTATTTTTTTAAATCCTTTTTAAATGTCTATCTCTAAGGTTTCAGGTGTCTTACATTTATATTTCTTTAGTTTTCTTATTGTAATGTTTCCTTGAAAATTTTTAACATATTAGAAACTAAAGAATATGCTATCAGATTTACTTTTACTGCTACCTATCCAAAAATATAGATTCCTCCAGTTCCTTTAGAATTATTTCACATCAACAGATTTTTTTCTTACACATTGTTAAATTTACTATTATTATTATTATTATTATTATTATTATTATTATTATTATTATTATTATTAGTATTATTATTATTATTATTAGTATTATTATTATTATTATAGTTATTTTATATTAAAGATTTGACAGACAAAGAATTTGAAAAATTTTTGAAGATGGACTGGCCTCCAATATGAAGAAAATACAGTATGTTAAGTACCACTTGTAGAGAAATTTGTACACTTATTTAATGGTAAAGTAGGGCTCACTCTATCTTCATTAACCTTAGCTTTTTTAATAAAACACAAGCTCTAGAAAATAATACAAGGTAAAAATCTGAAGTTCAAATAGAAGTAATTCATACAAAAACTATCAAAGAACTTTTATTTAAATTTTCTGCAATTTATCTGTACAAAAATGACAAAATAAAAGAAGTCATCACCATCAATTTAATATATTTATTTAGAGAGCTGACTTTCGATGGCTTTGCCGTCAACATCAGTCTCGCTGTTGTGGCAAAAAGTCGGCACAACACTGTTGTGCTGTCTCCTGACTTTTCCACAACAGTGAGACTGAAGATGACAGCAAAGCCGTCAAAAGCCAACTCTCCAACTACATTTTTTAGGTTGACATAGATGACATCCTGTATTTCTTCATGTACGTCAACAATACCACATCAGAATTCCTACTGTATAACAATGTTTATTTAAAATAACTTAACCAATATAATTAAATTATGTAATATATGAACATGTAATTTATCTTACCAACCGAGTTCCTGTTATTGACTATCTTTGTCACATTTGGCACTTCTGTTGCATTTACAAGAGGTAGAATATCAGTCTTTGCACGGTAAGTCATGGGAATTTTCCTAATAGTTGGTGGAGTGGTAGTAGCTGTGGTAATCGTTGATGCAGCAGTGAGTGTTGCAGGTATTGTTACAGGTATTGTCACAGTGGTTGTTGAAGTGGGTATAGTCATTGTTGGTGTTGTTGCAGAGGCCGCTGCAATACCTATTGCTGATGGATTTATTATTGCTCTTGTTGTTGCTGTTGTTGTTTTTGACCGCACAGCAGGTGTTTTTATTGGCACTGTTGTACCAATTGCTGGAGGAGATGGTACTGCTGGACGCTGAGTTGCAGCTAATGATGTGAAGATGCCTCGTGTTAATGTCTCTTCAGATCCTACTATTTCATTTTGGGCAGTCCAAGTGGATGAATTGAAAGTCTGTTCATCTTGCAGAGTAACAAAGCAGTTTCCCTGAGAATCTGTTGAAGCAATTATCATTGGCTGAAAGCAACACAAACAAGTTCAAAATGCTAGCAAAACAATCACAATTTTGAGAACAATTTTTTAATGTTAATTACAAAAGGTTATCACTATCACTATTCCACAAGATTTTAAAAAGTAGTTGTTTTTTTTAATGTATAAATCTTTGGTCAAACCATGGAGAAGCTTTGAAGGTTTGAAATTATGTATTCCTTTTATGTGCTTACCAATAGACATTTTTCATGTATACTCAATATGTGCAAAAGGGAAGGATACAGAGAAGAATGGAGGAGGAAAAAATTGTTTACATTCATGCTGTGGGCTACAATGAGTATAAATAGAGTTATCTAAAGGTAAAAGTGAATGATTTCAGATTCTCTATGGGATGCAAACTTTAATTGCTATGCCCTTGAAATGCATAACCCTTTTCCAAACCTACATGCAATGACTCAATACCTGCAAAATATTACACTATTTCACTTTCGTGTTTATGAACACGCAATGCATAATAGGCTCTGAGATCACTGTAGATTGTTGTTACATTGTAAGAAACATATTGTTTCATAAGACATTCCCTGGTTTCATACAACTACATGATATTCACTTGTAATAGTCCCTTTCAAATAACATGACACATTATATTTGAGAAGAAACTAGAGACTAAAGTCTATATGACATTCTGAAGTGAAGGGATTGCAAGTTAACAAGGATATGAACTGTAATACTAATTGGAAGTTATAAGTGATATCAAGAGAAAATTGTAATGCAAAAAGTGTTAGTTAATTAAGGTAAAAATTTACCTCTCTTGAGCAACCATTAATAGTTTTGCAAAGAAGGAAAAAGGAAAGAAAAAGAAAGTAAAAGAAAAAATAAATGGATCAATAAGAGGATGGTCACTTAAGAAGAGTTTCTCTCGAATGAACAATATTTAGGTTTTCAGCGTATCACCTACTTTGGTCCTTAGTTCCATGAGTGTAGCACATGTTATAGCTGGAAGGTGGTAATGTCCCTCCTCCAGTACAATGTGAAGTCCAATGCAACGTACACATTAGTTTGCAGGATTTTCCTTCTCAAGGTATGGTGATTTAGGTACCTCAGGGCATCAAGTAATGTCACTGCAATGTCTATAACCAGGAGGTTCAAGTCCTGACAGCAACAGGATTTGTGACACAAGCTAGATAGCTATTTTGAATTAATCTGCTGTCTGGGGGAGAATTCTAACAGCTCGTTGTTCTGATCGGTAGTTTTCTGTGGTTTATCTGATCAACTCCAGGCAAATGCCAGAGCAGTATCTTAACCCGGCAGTGGGAATGTTGAGTTTGTCAGACCTAGCGACATCTTTCAAGCCGTCTGTCTAGAAAACGAAATTATTTCTCAATTTATCCACCAATCTACCTTCAAATTAAATCTTCCTGAATAGATAACGACAATCAGTTTGTTAATCAGAAAAGCGTGATGTGCTATTCCCGCTCAAAGTTGTTGATCATCAGACCCAACGTTCCCTATTACATGACATTTTTACAACATGAGTGGCGCATCTCATAGTTATTTTAATGCATTAAATCCGAAAGATATAGAATTAATAAACAAACTTTTAGATAATTATGATTGTTTATGAAGGGATGAAGTTGCTGATCCATTATTTGAACTAGAAAGTTTGCACTGTACTGATTCTGAACAAGAAATTGAAAAACTCAACCTGAGAGTAAGGAAATTAAACTTGAACTTTTTGTAATATATTTATTTATTTACAGTTTGATTTACATGAAGTTGACATTTTAGAGTTAAGAAATTCAAATTATTTTAAATTTTTGTAGTCTACTAAACACTTTCTCGAAAAAATTAGGAAAAACAACATTGACAAAAAGAATTTGTAAAAAATGCTTCCATAAAACATATTATAAAACATTTCAGTAAAAATTCTTCTAATATGTTTAAGTAATGCAGACATAATTTGTCAATATTTCAGTTATTAACTTAATTCTGCATTTTCTTTTCGTTTGATCTTTGTTCACTTTCAATTATGTTTTTTGTTCACTAGTCTGAGAGTTTTTTAAAAAATGGAATATATTTTGTGCTATATGTTGAATCTATGATTTATTTACATCTTGTAGTTCATAATAAAATATTTGTGTAATTAATTAATGCTTTAAATAGGCTCTAATAAGTAGCAGGTCTATGAGACCCAATGTTCCCACTGACGTCAGGATTTTTCACGTTCCCGTCGCCAAGTTAACAAGTGGGCCATGGACCACACATCATCTGTCCTTCCTCTTCTTTGTTCTATCCTCACCCCACACTTACACTTACAAGCACTACACTACCGCACATGCTAAGAGACCAATTGAGAGCTTAGAGCTTGTCCCGGTTCGAGTGGTGTCCTGCTGGTGGGAAAAAACCTCGCTAGCTGACATGTAGGTTGGTGCCCAATCTCACAATCCAGCAGGGGAAGATCACCACCTCCCATGGAAAACACATGCACTACATTAATGAGAACTTGAAGCATTTTTTAGCAGTTGAAGTGCCTGGAATTGCTACTTAATCAACCCTCCAGGTATCAACCCCAGTGGGGCACTGCCTCAGTTAAGGCAAACCCTATTGGTAGTAGTGTAAGGTTTCGGTGTGTGTGCGTGCGTGCGTGTATATGGTACATGTATATGGTGAAAGGACAGAACAAGGATAAGGAAGGGAAGATTGGACTCATCTGTGATTTATTTGTCAGAGTCAACTGGCATTTGCTAGGCATTGATTGGAGAAACCTTGGAAAACTACCAGAGATGCTAGCCACAAGAATTTGTGCTTGAGTGACATAAGCTGTTTACTCATCATCTTCAAAAGAGACTTGCAGATACAATGAACCAGAAATGGGACTTGAAATCAAGTATACAGAACATTTTAGGAGAAGACTAGGGGTAGGGAGAGCAACAGTCGGTGTGGGGGTGGCACTGTGGTAATGACAACCACAACCACAGGGACAAGAGAAGAAGAAGAAGAGAAAAAGTAGAAGAGAAGAAGAGAAAAGTAGAAGAGAAGAAGAGAAAAGTAGGAGAGAAGAAGAGAGGAAGAGAAAAGCAGAAGAGAAGAAGAGTAAAAGTAGAAGAGAAGAAGAGTAAAAGTAGAAGAGAAGAAGAGTAAAAGTAGAAGAGAAAAAGTAGAAGAGCCGAAGAGGAAAAGTAGAAGAGAAAAAGTAGATGAGCCGAAGAGGAAAAGTAGAAGAGAAAAAGTAGAAGAGCCGAAGAGGAAAAGTAGTAGAGAAAAAGTAAAAGAAGAAGAAAAGCAAAAAGAAGAAAAGAAGAAGAAGAAGAAGAGAAGAAGGAAAACAGCAAGAAGTCCCAAGTGATAGAATGACCAAGAGAAAAACTTGTGCAACATGCTCCTACAGAAAAAAAGAAAAATGAAAACATGTGCATAGCCTGCAGAACACCAATTTGCTTAGTATGAAGTAGGAATCTATGCCTTTAAAATGCAAAAGACAATAGGAACTAAAAGAAAAATCTCTTGGATCTATAATTCACATTTTCCTTTTTCTACTATTTCAATGTTTTGAACGACTTCATTGCTTTTACCACTGTAACTCAGGATTCTTGAAAGAAATCAAAGAATTGTATTGAAATAGGTATATTAGTTTATTTGTTATTTTATCTTTATTTCTCACATCTAATGCCCAATAACAAATTGCAGTGACCAAGTGTCTTTCTGCGTTATAAAAAACATGTTACTATATAATTATTAAACGTGATAATAACAATGTTAATATTAATCCTTGACTGGTATAATAAGGTGTACAAAATCCCACGATTGTTTCCTTTCACAGAATTCGTGTTATCGTCAAAACTAAGATGAGCCATCTTGCCTTCCTTTAATAGGGGTGACTCTCAGTGTCCTTAGAATGTGGCTAGAGGCTCTCATTTTCTCCAAATGGCAGCTAATTATATTTACGAGGGGTTCAACAGATGAAACATACCAGTTACGTCAAAGTTCTTGCTTTAGATGATTCATTAACTAAACAAATTTATCTGATACTTTAGATGTCAATTATTCTTTAGTGTGTGTGTGAATTCCTGTCTTGGTGAGAAACATACTTTTAACAGAATTCGATGATTAATAGATGTAGTCTTTTTCGTGATGAAGCTGACCCATTAAGATCCGTGAATGGAAACGAAAATATACGATACATGAAGTACCAGATGTGTTAGAAAAATTATTGTACTAATTAAAGGTTAAATGCTTCTATTTCCAAAATAAATATTATTTTATTTTAATTAATTATAAATGTAATGATTTAAATTAATTTAATAAAGTAATTTTGAACATTTTTATGAGCAAGTGCTAGTTCATGCACAATAAAAGATTCTCTACTTTCAGAAGTACCATAATATATAAAAAAAATTAAATACATTGTTAGGTCCATAATTTGGAGCAAACTCAATTGTGTTTTTTACAAAAGAGACAAATTCCATGCAGTACATTATCTTTCAGTTACCGGGTAAATTATTACATAATGGCAAAGAGGACAATTCAAATTACCTGTATGGCACTATCAAGATTTGCAGCCGAGAGAGATTCATCAATTTGTATTGTTTGAATGTCTTCATTTTCAGAGAACACGGTGTCAACAGGAAGCTGCAAAAATTAGTTTATTTTTAATCTCATAGAATAATTTCATAATTCATATCAACACAAAATTATATCATTTTACAATAAAGTTCCATCAATACCTGGATAAACAGAGGTTTAACAGCAAGAAAATAAATCAACTTATAATAAGTCTTACACACAAACAATGATATTAGGGTTGTATACTTTTCTAACAAATATACCGGTTTCCTAATTTTTCTCATGATGACATTGCGAAGTAACAAAACAGCCATGAATCAAGTTATCCTCTTATACGTCGTATTTTTATTATAATCAAAATAGAGAAAAAATGTATCAGTTCGCCTGATTCCTCCCTGTGATGATCTCACACAGTCCATGGCCCATTTATTAGGGTATTGCTCCTGCATTCATCTGGTGTTGATTGGAGAAACCACAGAAACTACTGTTCAGTGCAGCTGGCCGCTAGAATTCTCAGACAGTGACTGAATTTGAAGAGAGAGAGATCGAGATCGAGAGAGAGCGAGGGGGAGAGGGATAGTGAGAAGGGGGAGAGAGGGGAGAGAGAGAAGGGGGAGA